ACACGCGAGACGGACCAGTACCACAAGGGAACTCTCCTCCAAAAGATATTCCTCTCTCTGCAGTCCCCCTCCTCATATGCATATATTTAAAACTAGAAGGCTGAAATCAAAGACCACTATTATAAAGACTACCTGTTCTTTATTTAAATCAACAAGAATAAGCATGTCTTTTAAAACTTTACTTCACGAAGGCCCTTAAGGTCATTAAAATGTACCTATTTCAAGGATAAAATGATTTATCCTATACTTGAAGCCTGTTAGTTGTAAAGTATTTTCTAAGAACTAAAGATCTGTAATTGGGATGAGAAAGAAGAGACAGAAATGAGAGAAAATTAGAAAAAACAAAGGTAGGGAACTAAGGAAAGCATTTCAGCATTTTACTATAAAGTGACCACTTAAATCAACAGGTATGAATGTTTTGGGGGGAAAATTTATACATAAAATATGAATGAAATGCAATCTTTTGAACTGCTTGCTTAATTATAAGATCAAGCTAATCATCCAATTTCTAATCTGCTGTTTCTTCAATTCCAACTGCTCACATTTTTTGACAAGCAGGTGATTAACAAATCCATCATACAATTGGTATAGAGTTAAGAGAAAATTCCAATCTGTCCATCTTACTACATGAATACACAAAACGGCTAGCTGGAGACACATTTTAAATTGATAAAACTAGAAGTCTTAAAGGCAAACTATTTCATAACATTCTCAAAGTCCATAAACCTACAGATAATTGCTAATGTGAATTTTTAGAGGACTATTTTGACTAGGACTTTAACATTAGGAGCAAGCACAGATTAAAATCAAAATCTGGCCAGGTAAAGGGGCTTACACCTCTAATTCCAGTCCTTTGGGAAGGCTGATGCAGAATTGCTGGATTCCAGGAGTTCAAGATCATGCTGGGCAACATAGTAAGACCTCATCTCTACAAAAAAACTTTAAAAATTAGCCAGGTATGGTGGTGCACACCTATAGTACCAGCTACTTGGAAGGCTGAGGAGGGAAGACTGCCTGAGCTGTGATCATGCCACTGTACTCCAGTCTGGGCGACAGAGACCCTGACTAAATAAATAAATAGATATCCAATTTCTTAGTAACATAACCAAAAAAAAAAAAAAAATCACACAAACCTTAATTTTGAACAAGACAAAAAACTTCAAGTTTTAAATTTGAACAATTAATGTTCATAATTATGAAAGTTTAACACTTAAATAATTAAAAATTATGATTTTAATTTATTAACTTGTTTTTATCTTTTTAAAAATTTCTTATTTTAAATATGTGGAGTACAATTCAAGGCTAGGTATAAAAATGCTCATTATGCAGGGTTAGTTGGCTCAGCCTGTAATCCCACGCCTTTGGGAGGCTGAGGTTGAGTGGATTGCCTGAGACCGCGGGTTCAAGACCCGCCTGGGCAACTTGGTGAGACCTCATTTCTACAATAAATCAAAATTAGCCGGGCGTGGTAGCGCGTGCCTGTAGTTCCAGCTACTTG